AGTGTTGCTTTGGGTTAGCCCAAAAAGCGTTTTCAGAACATCAATATCAATTCAAGGATGTCAACCCCTGCTATTACAGTTTTTAAGGCTAGAGTGACCTGAACGAAATTTGCTGAACCATCATTGACACTTATGAATGTTCAAAACATTTCCATAAACTTCTTTGATATTCTTTGTGGCTACAGAGGCATTGTTTCCCTTTTTGTATTCAAACAGCATTATATGCCGAAAGTGTATCATCAGTATAAGGGATAAGCGTATACTAAACTTTACACATTATATAGGCTACAGTAACGTGATGTTTAGGTGGTTCGTTCAACTACTATACGTGATGTACTTTTTTTTGGGGGTGGTTAATGAAAATGTTCCAAAACACAACATTAATTTCTTGACGACCTAATATTACGGTATGCCCCTGTAGACAAGTTAAAATAGTCAGTTATCCATCTATACACTAATTTCTCAAAGAACTTAGTAATTACTTATGTTTTAGACTACTGTGATAAGCAAACTGTTATCCAAACATTAAAAAATACAGGATAGGAGTTAAGATATTTTATCCCAATCATAAAAAAATTTTAAAATGTGATGCCACATAATGAACATATGATATTCTTCAATTGTAGTAAACTTTGTCACACGCTCAGTTCTGAAACCTGTCCATTTTCAATTACAAATCAATTAATTTAAATATAACAGAGTAGTGTCACACACTAAGAACTCAAAAAAGGTAAAACACAATTTGGTCTGGTTATCATGTGAATGAGGTATTGAAGCTCACTTTAGTGTTCTGGTATTCAAGCTTTACTAATTTGGCCACCAAGATAATTTCTCCACCTGGAACATGATGAACCAAGTGGTTTAATTCACCACCATGAAAAAAAAGAAAGAAAATGTAAGTGTTACATATCAAATCTCAATCACATCTGTTGCAATTTTCTTGTGCCTATCTGTATAATACAACATACAGGGGTTGGACAAAATAATGGAAACACCTAACATTTTGGAATCATAATCTTTGAACATGTTATAAACA